ACAGTTATTAAGAACCACACCTAAAACAAAAGCAAACTAAGAGGATAGCTAGATCAGGAGCAGAACCATAGAAATGAAGATCTCAAGGAGGGTTAGCAACAGGGGAGTGGGAGGAGGGGAAGGGGGGAGAAGGTACAGAAAATAAGTAGCATAGACAGTAGATAGAAAATAGATAGGGGGTAGGGTAAGAATAGTAGGGGAAATACAGAATCTAAAGAATTTGAGACACATGTTCATGAACTAAAGGGGGAAATGGTGGGGGAGGGGTATGCAGGGTGGAGGGGAAGGGAGGGGGGAATAGAGCAAATGTAATGGCATAATCAATAAAAAAATAAATAAAGTTAATATAATACCAGCTTTAGTGAGGTATCAAAATGATAGAGAGCACACTTAATACTAGAAATATATCAAATCTTTCTTTGCTTATTCTGAAAGAAGTTGAGAATTGATCGGGGGCTTTGGGTCACTATTCTACCAAGTTCTGTTAACTTGTAGAAATAATGCTTATGAGCACCCTGGAGAATTGGACATCTGCATGTACAACAGAGAATGAGTAACTCACTAACTCTGGCTAAGAGGTAATAAACAGTTGAAATGTCAGAAAGTACTCAAAAAGATGAAAAGGAGGGAGGTGGTTTATTAAATAAACCAGGAGATGTCCATAAAAATGTCTAAATATCATTGCTTGAAAATTGATAGATAAATGTAGCATGTCAATCCCTTATAATTCTCATATGACATCAAAGTCAAAATCAGCGCTTTATATATTCATGTTAAAATGAAGCCAAAATATCACTGTTATACACACTTGAAAAACGTAGAAAAATGAAATAATTATACCTTTACTTCTGGACTTTTATACCGATAGATTTTTTTACCCATTAGTGTCTTTTATGCAGAAGTAAATCACCAACATTTTATTTGTGCATTTGTATTATGGCAATATTAGTTACTCTATTGCACAGAAGATGGTCATAGCCAGAGGAATTTATGTAACTATTGAATAGAAAGTTGCAGAACAGATTTCTTTTTTTAAAAAAATATTTAATTATTTTTCAAGTAGAGTTTTCTATTTCTCCCATCCCAGCCCACCCCACCCCATGTTCCCCACCTCCCTCCTATTTCCACCCCCCTTAGTATTGTCCCTGTGTCCTTTATACTTGTTCCTCTAAATCCCTCCCCTTTTTTCCCCTAAATTCTCTCCCCTCTCTCCTCTGGTCACACTGTCCCCCTATTCTCTATTTCAGTGTCTTTGTTTTTATTTTGCTTGCTTGTTTGTTTTGTTGTTTAGCAGAACAGATTTCTATATGGATAATGATCTCACGGCCATACCACCCTGAACGCGCCCGATCTCGTCTGATAATGATCTCTGTCTCTCCTTTAAAGTAAGTGAACCAGAGAACCAAGAGTCAAGATATTTTCATGTTATTCTTCTATTTATTCAGCGAGTAGCTAAGCACACTTTATTTTTTTCCCTGAGTCTTAAAGGCTTTTTCTGTGAAAAGGAAATGAAATGTTTCATTTTACCTCCCCAGAGAGCAGTGAGGATTAATGCAATGGGAAATGGGCAGTATTAGAAATTTGCTTGCAACTATGAAAAACAAACAAGCAGGACATTGTCATTCTATGATAGTTGAACCAGCGGCCAATGTGAGGATTGCCAGAAAGCATCATCTTCTCTGTCCCATTGCATGTGTCCCACTGCACGGCTGATTCCTGAACAAGGTGGTTCTATCTGGTCTCTTCGAGAGGCTGTGTCTCCTATTGCCTGCCATTGCCTCTAACTAAAGTATTTCATACATATTCTCTAATTCAGGTCAGTATTCCACCAACCAGTTCCAATGGATGTAGCTTTATCCTGTGCAAAGAATTATCTTTGGGAGACTAAATCCTTAATTTTCAGATTTGTCTGTTGGAAGTTAACTTGTGCTACCCTGAAACCCACAAGGATGCTTTTCTAACCATGTCTCTGTACAACTGAAATGGTTTGCACAACATGACTTTCCTTCCTAACACATTCTCTGGGAAAAGTACTATACAATATGAAATGGGTCTTGTGACTCACAGGTTTATTAATCACAGGCTCATTGTGAACACCTTCACTGACTGCCGAAGGAATCCCAGCTGCATCTCAGCATGTTGTTCTCTCTGATGGAGTCAGTGTGAGTGGTTGGGTCACAATATGGCCTGTGTTTGGTGTATAGTATGCGAGACACTGCTGCCTGGACTAACCTTCTCACATGTCCTATTGACCCAGTCTATTTAGTGCTCTTAGAGCGCTTTCCACAATGTTGCAATGTGTGTCCCTACAGGTAGATCGAAGATGCTGGATTATAGGCTATGTTTTATTCTATTTGCTGTTTTCTCCCAGAAATTAATACAAGGCTGGGTGACTATTAAGTGTTTAGTAATAAATGCTTAGTTGGATGAAATCTCTACATAATAATTGGAATACTTTCATTAGAACACAAGTTACATCATGCCTTTTCTGTACTTAAACCATCCTGGTGACTTCTGACTGTACTGAAACAGATTCTAAACTCCTTGAGAGGACAGGAGAGTGTGTTTATACCTCTCCAGTATTGTCTGTCACCCTTCTCTGCCTCCCAGTCTGAGCTGCAACCACACTGGTCTTCAAGTTCTGGAACCCAGCCAAGGACTTTCACAGCATAGGTCTTCACACCTGTGATTTCCTCTGCCTAGAATGTTCAACACCTCTCTTTTCTTATGGTTAGCTCCCTTTCATCTTTCAGACCTTAGTTGAAAGGTCATTTCCTTAGAGAGGTGCTTCTTGACCAAGTCGTATAAAGAGAGTCTCTCCTCTAACTCTCTAACAGTAATCTGCTATCTCCTTTCTCAGCATTTGTCACTATCTGTAATTAAAATTTATTTATATTTTTGTTTTCTATTTTTATGAGACTCTAAACTACATGAAGAAGGAACTATATGTATGTTTTATTTATGACTATAAACTTAGTACATAATAGATGATCAGCAAATATTTGTCAAATGAATGAATGATAAGACATCCCTATTTCATTGCTCTGATAGCAGGCTTATTGTGGACACTTGAGAATATCAATAATTTCAGTGGTTGAAAGTCTTTTTTCTGAGTCACCAAAGTCATATGCAAACTCACTTTGTCTGATTTACCAGTGTTTGCTGGGCTGTTTAGGAAAGCTTCTGACTGACTGCTGTAGGCAAGTGCTGCCTGGAAATCTGAAGGTTTTAGACTTAATCTAAAGTCTTTAGACTTTAGTTATTTCCCTAAGACAAAAGCAGGGAGAGACAAATGGTATAATGAAAGTAGCATGTGTTTTTGTTGGTACTCTTAGGCTAACATGCTGCTTCCATCACGTCCTACCTGTTCACCTTGAATATGCTATTATTAGCTTTCTCTCAGCTGTGATTTCTTCATGTGTAAATAAGTATAATACCTATCTCACAGGGCTATTGTGAGGATACAGTAAGTGCAGAGTGCCTAAAAGAATTTCTAGCATATGAAAGATATTAAAAATCATAGCTTTGATATGATTGTCAAATATTGGGCCAGGAGATAGTGTTATAAATCTTACATAGTCATGTGTCATTTAACAATGGGGATACGTTCTGAATAATTCATTGTTAGGTGATTTCATCATGCAAACATCACAGAGTGCACTTTCACAAACATGGATGGTGCAGCCTCCTTAACATCTCTGTTCTGTGGTACAGTCTATTGCTCCCAGGCTACAAACCTGTACAGCAGGTTATTGTACTGAATACTATCAACACAGTGCTTTTTTTGTATCTAAACATATCTAAACATGGAAAAGTTACAGTAAAATATGGTTAAAAGGATAAAAGAATGGTACCGCTGTATCAGGCACTTGCCCATGAATGGAGCTTGCAGGACTAGAAGTTGTTCTGTGTGAGTCAGTGAGTGGTGTGTGAGATGAAGGACATTACTGCTTCCACTACTGTGGATTTTGTAAGCACTGTCCCATAAGCCTTCCCTGCTTCCTTCTCTAAGGGTCTGAAATTGAACATTAGAGCTGTCAGTGCTGCTCCATGAACAGGGATGTGGGCTGCATTGGAGATACTGAGGAGAAACTGTCTGGATAAAGCATAGATCGCCATAACAACAGTCTTTGTCGGGTGAGAGTGAAAGGTGGCCTGGGGATCACTAGGAGTAAGAAATCAAGACAGAGAGATGAAGGAACATAGGCACTGTCATGGCAGTGTGGTTTTGACTATTACAGGTTGGTGCAGGGTCGTATTAAGGCACTTTGTGTCATTCATAAAGAAAGAGGGTGTTTAACACAAAGAGGCTGTAGAACTGAGGATTCAGTAATTTGACTCCGGACATTTGCTTTTTGTTACTTTGACCCTATTTGGCACAAAAGGCTCTTTGTGGCATTGACTTGATGAAAGAAATAAAACTAATATATTCTTTGCATGATTGTAACCTAAAAATATTTTTGCAGTCTGGGACAGGCTGGCTGCACACTACCACAGAGTGCTTTTGCTAGAGTGGCAGTGATACTTGACACTTGTTAAGGTAGTTCCCGTGGGCCTGTGTCTTGTACAGGACCTGAGGTCCTCAGTGAAGACTCTACAGCAATGTGCTCTGAAGACCATCAAGCTGGCTCTGCGGGGCTGTAGCGCCCTCAGGATATTTAGTGTTGGGGGACAGCACCTCTGGGCTGAACCAGGTCAGTGGCTGACTGATTGGGATGTAATCTGTGCTCTCAAAAGTGAGGTGCTGTGAGTGAGGGAATCTATTGCCAAACCCCACAGTATTTCTTCCATCAGAGAAAAAAAGTCTTCCTGAAGCACATACCTTCCATTTTTCGGGGAAATTATAATCTTATGGGACCACTGTTGTATGCAGTCCATCATCCACCCAAGGGTTGCTATGTGGCACGCCACTGTAATCTGATCAATATGGTAAGTACCTTATCCTTAGTAAGGCATTTTTTTAAAATGGAGCACAAAGTGTCTTATGGGCATAGGCATTTTTATTTTGTTTCTTTCCTCTCCTTTTTACAAATTAACTTGTTCAAACCATTCTTCATCTCTTTATTCCTTAGGGTGTAGATGATGGGATTCAGCAGGGGGGTGACAGCAGTGAAAAACATAGAGAACACCTTGTCCTCTGGGAGGCTGATGGACGGACGAGAATAAATGAAGATGCAATGTCCTAGGAACAGTGTGACGACAGTGAGGTGGGCTGCACAGGTAGACAGGGCTTTCCACCTGCCCTTGTGGACCTGCTGCCTCAGACTTACCAGGATCACAGTGTAGGACACCAGGAGAACCACAAAACAGACCACAGAAATAAGCCCACTGTTGGAGATGATGAGAATCTCAATGATGTGGGTATCAGTGCAGGCCAGTTTGACCACCTGAGGTACATCACAGAAGAAGTTGTCAATCTCATCAGGACCACAGTAGGGCAGCCTGATGGTGAGGGAGGTTAGGGCTATGGAGTGAATGGTCCCCCCTGTCCAGAGGGTCACAGCCAGCAGCACACATACCTTCCGGTTTATCACTGTCATGTACTGCAGGGGTTTGCAAATGGCCACATAGCGATCATAGGCCATGACAGTGAGGAGAAAGATCTCTGTGCAGGCAAATAGGTGCAGGAAGAACATCTGAGTTACACAGGCATCAAAGGAGATGAGCTTCTTCTCTGACCAAGTATCTATCAGCATCTTGGGGACAGTGACTGTGGAGTGGCAGACATCGATAAAGGACAGGTTGCTGAGGAAGAAATACATGGGGGTGTGGAGCCGGCGGTCATAGGTAATAGTTATGACAACGAGGATGTTCCCAATCAGTGTCAGAACATAGAGAATGAGGAACATGACAAACACGGCCACCTGCACCTTCTGATTTACAGATAAACCTTGAAGCTGAAAATATGTCACTAAAGTAGTTTGATTGAGCAGACCAGCCTGTTGCATTTCTTTGTTGGACACTCCTGTCAAGAATTAAAAAAAAAAACAGATCTGAATCAATTATTTGGTCATTTAATTTCTTCTATGCCCATGACTCTCCTCTGCATCTAGAATTTATGGTAAAGTATCTTATTTTAAAACTCCATTCAGCGCTAAGTGCCCACTTTTTTTGAATAACAGGATGGAGAATCTTGATTTACAAAGATATATAAAGCAACCTTGAATAGCAAGACAGGAAACAAGTTATTTCTCCTTCATTATTGTGAGATATTAGTGCTTGGATTTAAGTTACAGGTTTTTACAGGATAAGAAATTAAAATTCTCTTTACTCCAAGTAAGTAATATGTGCAAGGTCACATAAATGCTGGCCTTCAGCACACTTTTCTTTGCAGTCCTGTGACTGCATTTTCTACTAACCCAAATTACTTGCTACCCTCTTGACTCTGTCATGATGCCCTGAGACAGTAATTTCAGTGATCTAGTTTTCAGAAGACAGAAACTTTTCACCAAGCTACTGGCCAATTGGCAATGTGGCTGGGCATTTTTAAACAATTCTGTAGAGGAACATAGATAAAACCCTGGAAACCTTGAAAACTCTGGAGAGGGTGAGGAAGGCTTGCTTTTTCCCTACCCTTCAGATAAGAATTGACTTACTCATTCTTAAGCTGGAGGTCAAGATTCAGGTCTAATAGCATCACTGTCTTGAGTATATCCTCAGATCTTTAAAAAAAAACTAGTTCTGTAGCTTGGCCACAAGTAAAACAAAAGTAGTTGTTTTATTTTCTTTTATATTAATCTCCCTTTGACTCAAGGCTCATTATTTTTAATAAGAAATATATATGTGTATATAGTATAGATCACAACATCTTAGCCCTTAAATGGACTTGAGAATTTACCTATTCTATTTTTTAAATATTTAATTAATTTATTTCTAAGGAGAGGGGAAGGGGAGAAGAAAGAGAGGGAATGAAACATCAATGTGTGGTTGCCTCTTGTGCTCTGCTACTGGGGATCTGGCCCATAACCCAGGCATGTGCCCTGACTGGGAATTGAACTGGTTATGCTTTGGTTCTCAGGCCCACATTCAATCCACTGAGCTACACTAGCCAGGGCTCTATTCTATTTTGTTTTTAATCTTACAAATCGAGAAAATGAGGCACAGAGAGGTAAAGCAACTGGCCCAAGTTCACAGAGAATTGGAATAATAGCTGGGTCTAAAGCTCAGGTCTCCTAATTCCTAGTCCAGGCTCTCTCTACTCTACCAGCACTCTGACCTGCCTTTTGGTGGTGATAGGCATCATTGGGGTGTTAAGTAGAATGGGTGTGTGACCACCCACTTCCTTTCCTGGGTGTTTTGGGCCAGCTTGGGTGGGCATCTGTGGGGAGCCTCTCTTATGTAGCTTGCCTCCTCCATGCTGCTGCCTTGATGCATGGTCTTTCAGGGGTAGCCCACCCAAGCAGGCTTCCCCTTTTAGTTCACTTGGGCCCTATTGTCTGGTGCTACCTTCTTCCCATGTTTATCATGACTCATGTTTTATATCTTCTCTCAATATACAGATATCAACTCTACATAGAAATAAATCAACTCCACATTGCTTATGAAAAAAGACTAAGCACTTTTCTGCTCCTAGTTCTCTCTTTCTTCTGAAATATTTCCTGTATTTCATCCTGAACTTCTGCAGACAATGGCCCTTGTTGCCCATATCAGAAGAAAGACTAATGGTAGTGTAATGTCAGGGAACTAGAAAAGGATGTCTGTGACAAAGAAAGAATTTTGGGGAAAGGAGAACTCTTTCAGTTAAATTAAACTCATGGTGTCCAGTGTTTATTTAGATTCATATTTATAGTAACACTTAATGTAGGTATTGATTAATTTTAGTATTTAAACATTTTCTTAGTGTGTCCACTTTAATCTGTTGCTTCAGAGAACAATTTTAAATGTTTAATGATTTACATCTGTTACCTTTGTAATTTGTTAAGTTCAATAAGAATGATTACATAATTGAAAGCTGAAAAACTGACCAAGAAGGGAGCCATGGATTTGTTTTAAATTCAGTATGAGAAATCCTAGTTGCACAGATGGGAAAGGGTATGAAGATTGAGATGTAGGTCTGACATGAAGACTTTTGTTCTATTATCATAATTTGTTTCTATATCTGTGGAGCCATGGAAAAATGCTTTGATAAAGGGAGATGTGTCCAACTGCAGTAGAAATTTGGTGTTAGTTTATGTCAAGAACTTGGTGCACGAAAAGAAAAGCTAATGTCTCTCTCATATTTGTCAGGAAATGGGGGAAAACAGGAGCAAAAGCAGAATAAAAGTAAATGTTTCAAACTCACTGTGGGTTGTTCCTGATGCTTCAGCACCTCCGAAGGAAAGTGAACTGTCACAGTGTCATAGCTTAAATTGAAGAGTATTATTTTCCAGTAGAAATAGCTATTTGTTTGAAGTTGGACAAATCAAATAAACTCACTTACCTTGATTTTTTTTAATAAAGAAGGTGAAAGTCCTTCAAGTCCTTGAAGTCCCTTTTGGTCTTGTTCACAATTTTTGTAATAAGTCACAGTAGCTATATTTGGTGATATTTTACCAGAGGTACTTCAGGATTTCTGTAAAATCATACCTTTGTACCTATATTGTTGTCACAGATTTTTAAAAAATATGGAGTATGTAACTCTGTGCTAAGCTTTTCTAGAATTGGTTTCCAGTGAATTTCCAGATGTGGTATAGGAAAACTTTATATTTCGTACTTTGTTAGAGTGCTGTGATGAGTAGAAAGGATTACAAGCCACTACCAAGCAATTTTGCAGACCATGCTAGTTTACCAGGACACTTCAAATGCCAAAATTGAACAAATTGTTTAGGACCAATGCAGCTGCACCACTGGTATTTTTCTACTGAATTATATAGGCTTTGTGTCCTTGGGAACTTTCAAGCAATGACATCAGCTTGCCTTAGTAACTAGTTAGAAAAAGTAAATTCTATGGGGACTGCAGTTATAGACTCTGCAAATATCATTAAGGAAATGTAATGAAAAAGTGAGACTTTGACATCTAAATCTTTAGGATGTGTTTGTATGTGATTAAATAAGCTACAATTTAATGACTGTTAATGATGTATTAAGTGTTAGGTAAGGGGCTTTCATGTTTTCTTATTTTAATTCAGATAAGAACACAGAGATGAGGGAAGGTTAATGGAGTTAAGACTGTAATCATTTTCCTGCCAGAGAAGACAAATGTTTGGACTCTAGAGTTAGATTGTCTAAGTGGGAATTTCAGTGTCCTCGGTGTGTAAGTTTTAGCAATTTATCTAGCCTCTTTGGACCTCAGTTTTTTAATTTATAAAACATGAATAAAACTGGTAAGAATTTTAGAACTCTTTGCAAAGCATGTGACACTTAGTCAATGTGTTAATGGTATTAATATAAATTCATAATATGCAGTTCAAACAAGCAAGCAAGCAAACAAACAAGTCACCACTAACTACCAGCTGACTTTTTTGGCATCACTTATTTATTATTTTGGATAACCATGAAAATGTAGAACTTCATGTGTGAATTCCCCTTGTACTTTCTCTCTTTAGATATATGAGTTCATTGGTTTAAGTTTGTGAGAGGACTCAAAGGAGGGAGATGGAGATTATGCTTTGAGTTCAAATTATGAGACTGAATAGTTCTGTGGAGTGATTAGAATGTTCTAAACAGAGGGTGTAGAGCTCGAAGCATGTCTCAGCTGATTCTCCTCCATGCGACAGTGTGTAGAAGAGAAGTTGGTAATAGAGGAAAAGTATCAGAAGTTGCCAAAAGTTCTTAATCCCAAGGACTGTGCTGTAGGTTCCTGTTCCCTCAGTTTTCTTTTTGGGTTTATTATCATTGATCAGAGGCACTTAAATATATATATTTTATTGATTATGATACTATGGTTGTCCCATTTTCTCTCCTTAATTCCCCTCTGACCTGCACACCCCCTCCCACCATCATTCTCCCTGCACTTAGTTCATGTCCATGGGGCATACATGTGAGTTCTTTGGCTTTTCCATTTTCCATAGTATTCTTAACTTCCCTATCTGTTTTGTAACTACTATTTATGCTTCTTATTCCCTGTACTTTTTCCCCCATTCTCCCCTCTCCCCCTCTCTGCTGATAACCCTCCATGTGATCTACATTTCTGTGATTCTGTTTCTGTTCTAATTGTTTTTTTGATTTTAGGTTTTTTTTTAGATTCAGTCATTGATAGTTGTGAGTTTCTTGTGATTTTACTGTTCACATTTTTGATCTCCTCCTTTTTCTTAGATAAGTTCCTTTAACATTTCATATAATAAGGACTTGGTGATGATGAACTCCTTTAACTTGACCTTATCTTGGAAGCACTTTATCTGCCCTTTCATTCTAAGTGATGGTTTTTCAGGATAGAGTAATCTTGGATGTGGATCCTTGCCTTTCATGACTTGGAATACAGTGATTCCCTACATATTGCAGGAGTTATGTTCCAGAGACCCCCTAGATATGTGAAAATCCAAAAAGTAGTGGCATTATATTTATTTTATTATTTATATATATTTTAAGGCTTTATTAACCATTTCCACACTCTTATAAACCTTTCCCACACTCTTATAAACACTTCATATGCTCTTAAACACTTTCTACACTCTTAAAGCTATGTAATTTTGACAACATATGAAATTCTATATGGGTATTCACCAGTGAAGTATACAGTTGTCCCTTGCTATATCATGGTTCACTCATTGTGGCTTCACTGTAGTGTGTTTTTTTAAATCTGTGATACTGTGAAGCTGCAATGAGTGAACCACGATATAGTGAAGGAGAACCAATTCCTGGATTCATTGATCCTTAGAATTGTGCTTTTAGTCTCTATGTCATTTAGTTCTGCTCTGATCTTGGTTATTTCCTTTCTTCTACTTGCTCTGGGCTGTCTTTGTTGTTGTTCCTCAAGTTCTTGCAGGCATAGGGTTAGGTTGTTTGTTTGAAATGTTTCTATCTTTCTTAG